CATTAATGTGAAAGACAATTAAGGTATATGAATAAATGAAATGATTATGAAAGAAAATGAAAAGAATTTAATGAAATAAAATTTCATATGCATGTTGATCCGGAAGTACCAAACTAATGGTAATGGGGCTTTCAAAAGCCAAATGGTAATGGGGCTTGTATAAGCCAAATGGTAATGGGGTTCTGCGGAGCTAAATGGTAAAGGAAATGGACAAAACTTTTAACTGCGTACCTGATCAGTACGAAAATTGGTACTTCCGGGACGGATGATACATTTAGCATATTCATTTTTACATTTTGCATTGCATATGAAAGAGATGAAAGAAATGAATGAAATAAATCAATTGTTAAAGGAAAGAATGAAAGGAAAAAAAATGAATAGTACATGTTATGACTCGCTCAATAAAATGAATTAGTTTTAAATTGTAAATATTTTTAATATATGCATCTTATAAAATTAATTGTGATATGAATTACCTGCTGAGCGTTGGCTCATTCCTAGTTTTTGGAAATATTTTCAGGAGAGAAGTAATGGCTGCACGACGACCTTACACTTATCGTCGTAAGGGACCTCAGGAGGGTGAAAGGTTCCATTTTATGTTTTAAGTTTGAGTCTTTGAGTTTGTTTCTGTAGTCTTTGAGTTGAAGTTTATGTAATGGTAAGAGTTTATGGTATGATGATGGATTTGAAACTTTTAGTGGTTATGAGTTATTTGAATTTGATGTTGTTTAGTGGCTCTTTCTTTATTATGGATGATGACATTTATGTACTGATGCTAATTATATAATGAATTTGATTTATGTTTCTTATGCTCTTCCGTACGATCGTCTGTTCTCGCCCCGATATTATCGGGCTAGCCGGGCCGGGTCGTGACAAGAGTGGTATCAGAGCAAAGGTTTAATAATGATCAATGAAAGAACCTATATGATGATTAATTGAGTCTTAGAATGTATAGGAAGTGTAATGTTATGATTAATTGTGACTTATGATTGATGTGTTTTATCTCAGGAGCATGGATCCTGAGCAGAATGTCACTGATGGCATTAATATGGAGGAAGGGAGGGAGCTACCAGAGGTAGCAGAACCTCGAAGAAACGACACTATGGAGTCATTCGCGCAGATGATGGATGTGCTCTTCCGTACGATCGTCTGTTCCCGCCCCGATATTATCGGGCTAGCCGGGCCGGGTCGTGACATTGAGTCAGATAGAATTTACAAAGAAATGAAAATTCAAGATGTGCCTCAAATTCACTTGATGACACCATACGAAGAAAGAACATCACCACAATGACCAATAAGGTCCCTATTATCCTATGCTTTCAAAGATTTTTATTCCAAAGAAAACTTTCATGGAAAAATATTAAGATGATTAAAAACAAGTACACAATGAACTTTACCAACACCACAAGCAATAAGCTTCATCTTTTTCAAAGAAATTCATTTATAAAATTAGCCGTAGCAAAATTCCCAAAGCAGATTCTTACAGCACAAAACAAGATAAGGTTTGTAGCTACAGCCTAGGCGATGTAAATGTTATCTTGTTTGTAGCTACAGCCTAGGCGATGTAAATGTTGTAATGCATAATGCATCAACTAGGCTTATGCGTGTAAACTCACCAATATAAGACACGTATTTACATACATTAAGAAAAATGATCCCTCAAAAAAATTATATTTATGCTATGAGATACCCTGCATGGTCAATGCACATGAGTGTATTAATTGAAGAAACGGAAATTGTTAAATTAAATTAAAAAAAAAAAAAGATTTAGATAAATAGGCATAAATACATTCTATTAATTTTAAAAAAGGTCCCTTAATCTGGGAAATTTTGAATGTTTAGTCCAGTAGAAGCACTGCACCATCTGTACATGAAACCCATTCATGATCATAGAATATATAACCAATTATTACTAACATATAATGTTTCAAAAGAAGTATACCAAATGGAGGTTTGTTGGGAAGCAAAGACTGTGTATTGATGACCATCCAGGCAGTATCAATCAAGATATTAGCCAGCTTTCCACTAAGTTGAGCACGCTCGCCACCTGAGGCATTACCCTGAAATAATATTCATTATTATAAATTGAATAAGAAGAGGACAAGTTTTCATTGCAAACCAATGATACCAGTGTCCATCTGTGATACACTCCAGCATATATTGAGGAACCACGGAACAACGAAAATGCAAGATAAAACTTCCACTCAGAAGCCGGCCAAGGCTTTCCCTGTAGTTAGACATTTGAAATGAAATAAGATATCACATCTAGAAAATCAACAAAGAAGTAGATCATCTTGTATCTGAAAGGTAGCTGATGATTGATTCATATAGGCAATGCTCACAGATGCAAAACAGTACTCAGCAATATAATCGGGGAGAGATGGAATGCCTTCAGGTCTCCCAGTAAGTTCAAACCCTCCATGTAAACCATCTTCAGATGAATTTATGTCCACTACATAAGGCTGCAACAAGAACAAGAAAAATTATTGGGGACAAGAGTTCATGAATCAATAAGCCTACCCTACTAAGTGTAATACTCAAAATTTTATGAGGTGTACTTAAAAAGACCTAAAATTGTATACCCCATTTTTTGCACCACGCAGAAATGATAAGCAATGTTTTTATTAAGGTTTCATTTCGGACGGTTTTTTTATTGCTTTCTAAACCAATTTTTTAGAACAAAAATTTCTAGCAAAATTTTCTTGAACTAGAAATTTTTGTTCTAGAAACCATTAAGAAAGTCGCCCCAAACGAAGCCTAAATCCTATATTTTGTTTAAATCATTTTGATATAGATATGCATATCGGTAATTATAAGCATATTAGCATATATAATCTAATTTAATAATTAAAATTAATTACCTAAGTTTTATATTAATAATACTAAATCTAATAAATGTACTGTAGCTATCACATAGGCATTTCCAGTTAAGCATACGTGCAATGGATGATGCATTTAGCAGACGGTTGATATTGATTAAATTCAAAGAATTGTAAGCTATTACACATAATTAATACTTGTGTAAATCTAAGATCAAAAAGAACTTAGCATTTCATTTTCATTGCCTGCGGTTTTTATCCCCCTCCGTGAATAACAATGAGCTGGGAACTTGAGAAGCCAAAGGGGAGAAATGGGGAAATAAGGTGAAATAAGGCTAGAGGCTAGATTTTGATAATTTCTGTAATGAGATAACTTTGATTTGAGGTGATTAGGCCTTGTGGCTTATACGAGGAGAAATTATTTTGAGATAAAAGTTTCACTTTAGGTTAATTCGATTTGGATCCAAGTTGTAGGTTATGAAATATTAAAAATTGAGAACTTACAAATTCATATGTTCGTTACAAACAAACAAGCTTTGTAGTGACCGTTCACAAGTTCGTTCTGTTGTCAATTGTCTGTTGGGTAAGATAATTCGTAATTTAGGAAGCAAAATTTATTTTAATATTTTGCATGTAATTTCACGAGTATTGAAAATTGTGTAGCGATGCATTAAACAGACTTCATATTGAAAAGTGCAATATTTACTTTCTATAATTCATGATTATGGATTACGCATTAATTTTACAAGATGAAAAGCATAAGTTAAAGAATTATGAGTGTTTTGACAATAGATGTAATTGTTGTATTTTAAAAGTATGACAACTTATACTTATTGGTCACAGATTTCTATAATGCGTTGATTTACATGTTTATAAATAATGTGAAATTTAAATATGCAGTACTGAAAATAAAATGAGATTAAGAAAAACCATGTGTGTTGGATGGGTTAGTCATCACATGATTCTAATTATTTATATGTTATGCTCACCTATATAGGTGAGATGAAAAAGGTGAACCCATTTAGAGGTAAAAAAGTCCTTAATATATAACTTCACACTATATTTTATACCCTATGATAGCCAATGAATCTAGACAAACATAAATGATACATTCTAAAGCTAAAGTAAAATACTTCATACCAAGAAATAAATGAAATAAGTAAATGAATAATATGAAAAGATTTATTTCAAATGTTGATAGCTATGAACTTTAACTAGCATAGTGCATATTGTAATTAAACATTGAACATCTCTTTTAACGTTTCTTCGATAAGATTTCCTCACGTATGTTAATGCTAGTTATTATTCAGGAAAGGCAATTTTACAAGGATTGTAGACAATACATAAGGCTAGTTTATGCTTTATTTTAATCCCACATGTTTAGTTCATGATTTATTTGGAAAGTATTAAAAATGATATTTTTATTAATAAGACACAATAGAGAAAAAGGATCCATGTAGCTGACCCCACGTAATTGGATAAAGGCTTAATGTTGTTGTTATATCTTCAGTTCATGATTAGTATATTAGATTATTTTAATTTCATTAAGATTTGAATTTTATTTTAGAATATTTATCTTACTAAATTTTTTGGCTGAGCAAATATTAATCTATTATTATTTCAGGTAGAGGAAAAGATAAAGTTAATATTGAGTAAAGATTAAATTTTGAAGCAACTATCTTACATTTGACAGATGATTTTGTTGTATGATATTTAGCACGTTAAGGGATGTTTATAATGAAACTTAAATGTTATGCAAATGAATTTTGATCATTATTGGAAGCTCTATAGTCAAATGAATGAAAATATTTGGAATACTTCTGCACAACTTATTTGTTTTACTTATTAAATCTCTATGCGTTAGAATTTATGTTGTATGATAAGTTTGGATAGTTCAGGTGATGAACTTACTTACTCACTCTATTTTGGTAGCCTTGTAGGTAGTATTTCATAATGGGCGTTGGTAATAAATTCAATCAATTGAATTATATCTATTTTTGTTATGCCTTATGTTTAACCAAGAGAGGTCATCAAGAGGTGAGACAAAGAGTTATATTATAGTAGTTAAATTATGAGGTTGAATATGAAATCTCAATTGGATTTAGTGCCATTAAGAAAATTAAATGAGATAAGATTAATAGAGTTTTCTGGGTTTTGTGGATACTACAGGCGATTTGTGGAGAAATTTTCTCATATTGCAATATTAAGAACTGAAGAAAATTTGGAAGGATTTCAGCATGAAAAGTAATGAAGTGGGTCATTACATTTATTCTATAGCAGTTACATTTTTTGTTTCAATGCAATTATCTGATACTATATTATGCATGTGTGCTATTAAATTTTAAAGAATCTATTACATATTAAATTGAGGAAAACAAAACGATCGAAGATACAATATGATATATATAAATGTGAAAACTGCTTATAAATTGATATGTATGGTAAAGGAAAATGAAATTAATAGAATGAATCATAATATATAAATGGAAAGTATTAAAAGAGAAAAGGTGCATGCATGCAAATACAAGAGTTCATTCCCTTATGGTATTGATTGGGGAAGCAACATATCCGTGCACAATAAGTGGAAAAGTAAATGATAATGAAAATAGAATTCGTGTTTGTTCAAAATTTTGGACAGAACTCATGTAATAAATGAACTATTAAATGATTAAATTTTAAAAGAAATAAAAATTGTAAGAAAATGTTTTATAAATAATAAAAAATTCTAGTATTCACATTTATATTAAATATGTATATGTATGTTAAATGAAATTTTTAATAGAAATGAATATAACTATTTATAAGCATGTTTATTACTATATTATAAATTATGATGGACCACTAAGTTATGATTGAAAACTCAATTTATTAAATTGACATTTTCAGATGAATCCCCAATAGATTAAATGGTTGATCATGTACATTTCATGTATAGAAGAAGAACAACAGAAAATAAGTAAGAACTGTTTTATCGTATGTTTAGAATGAAAATTATGTTAGTGGTTCTTCAGTTATATTTGGATATTAGTCAATAGAGTATTTATCGTTTTTGAAAAAAAAAAACTATGATATTTTTCCGACCGTCTATTTCCGCCTCATTAACTTGAACTTCCTGACCAATTTAGGACATAAAAGCATTATTGTCACTTGATGTTGAGTTGTCGTCACTTCTAGCTATCTAGTATAACCTCAACCAAGAGCAAAATGCTCGAGTGCAAATGAAAGAGCTCAATGAACTGAAAGAAATCAGACTTCAAGCTCAAAAAAATCTAAAAAATTTATCGAACCAACATATCAAGATCATTAGACTGCATGGTGCTTCATTGGACATTCCGGAACGATATTAGTTTTAGTGTTGAGAATATCAATCATCCTACACCGAAGAATTTGTGATAAATTTAAGCCTTTAGGAGGGCCCATTTGTCATCAAGAAAGTATATCAATAAGAAGCTAATAAACTTATCAATCTCAATAGTCAAAAACCCATACCACCAATCAATTGTGAGTATTTGAAGAAATTATATGCATAAAAATTCACTCAAGAAAACACTATACTTAATATCCCATGAAAGGACACAAAGTGCTTTGTCTATATATGGTAGAATATATGTCAAAGTTATTTTGAAATTCTCTTATAATACAAAAAGGTAAATATCACCTAAATGCATTAACAAAAAGAAAAGATAATTCTTTTTTAATAAGCATATGCAAAATAGTATTCTCAAAGAGAGATAGATGTCAATCACGTGACAAAACTTTTCAATCTGCAAGATTTAACGAGCCTAGTTAAAGAAGAACAAGTTCCTACAGCTCGAGAATAAGACTCGAACGGGTGTATAAGGTTGGCTCAATAAGCCCAAATATATTCGAGTCACTGACAACTCTCCTTACTAAACAAGCAATAAGAAGGGTCGCGCTATGATCAACCCTGCTTCATCAATCTAATGACAAATGCTGTCAAGTTCCAATGTTTATTTGAATTGACAAGTTCGAGTGATCTGAGTCTAAAAATGGTCAACGTGTCAAGGCAAAGTCAAAGACATTACCCTCATCCAAAAAAGCTTCCTACAATCATATAAAAGGACTTACAAATATACTAGCTCCAAGATGTCAAAAACAAAAACAAAAACAAAAAACAAAAAAGGACTCTCGAGTCTACGAACGTCAACATGTTGTTAAAGTGTGCATTCCCTCACAGCTCAAGTCTAGGGCTCGAGCAAATGTATAAGGTCAGAACTGCCCACCCTATCACTTACATGATCCACAAGATTGACTGCATAAAGAATCTAGTGTTCTAGCTTCACTTCCGCATGATCTCAAACGATTGACAATACTACTTTGTCCCATAAAACAACCTTAGCCAAAAACGAAACTCTTATCTTGAATTAATAAATAACGACATGTATTATTAGAAGCTCAAATCAGTCGATAAAGTTGTGTAGATAGGCTCATGCATAAAAAGCAGGGGCGGTCTAACCACATGTCCATGGTAAAAATTATCATAAGATTGAAGAACACTGTCCGGAAGTAAAAAAAATCATTAAAAAGGAAGCCATCATAAAAACCAACAAAACTACATTAAAATAAGAAAAGCATTTAGAGGAATAGAACATGAGTACAGGAAGAAGCTACCAAACTACTATATGCAACGTCACACATTTGGTTCCCTAGTGTTGATAGTTCCCAATCAAGAATTCCAATTACTCGATCCTGCACAAATAAAGAGCACAAACCTCAACCAACAGTCTGCAAACTAATAATTCTAACCTGGTGTATGTATAAATTTCAAAGCATGCAAAATAATGCATGACAGTAAGTCTTTTCTGAATCTATCTCCATAAGCAATAGCATATTAAATTCCAATTATGCCACAGAAAGATAATAAAAAAAAAAGGAAAAATAAGAAATCAAGGTAAATGATCAACAATTCTTGGGAACATGAAACAACTGGCTGTGGTGATTGAACATAGTAAAAAATAAAACTATCATTTGCTTTTGGTGCTTTTTTTGAATTTAAAGAAACGAATACAAATCTGAAAAGAGAGCTATATTAATAATCATCACTGATCATAATAGTCTTATCAAAAACCATTGGACTCAGCTTTATGAACTCTCATTCTCAATTCATTCCTATTGAATGATACATGAGGTGCTACTCTATTTTGCTCAAATATATATATGGACAATTTCTAAGCATGTTAACTATGGCTTACTTCCTTATAAATCCTTCTAAGTTGATAAAGAGGTTTATCCATTATTAAAATACAAACATAATGGATGGGATGATTATGCGCATTCTTCATCTTAACAGCAAGCATTCTATCGTCAAAAGATAAAAATGTAGCAGCAAAGGCCCGATATCCTGTTTACCAAGTTAAACAACTCTTAAAATAACCTCATTTCCTTACAATATCTTTCTTGAACATTACATATGATTGTTTATTTAAAAAATAAAAAATAAAAAAATAAAAAACATATGATTGTTTATTTCTATTCATTAAAAAAGGGAAAAATAATGATAAATCAAAGCATATTTAAATTTTGAAATACCAAAATACAAACCTCTACTGGATGAAAGACCAGATTGTCAATCCGAAAGTCCCCATGAACCAAACCAGTGGCGGCTGTTCTAGAGGAATCTTCAAACGGTACATGTTTCTTTAGCCAACTGGCCAATTCTAGCATTTTAGGATTCCGATAAGGTTTTCCTTCCCCAGTTGAAGATAGATATTGCCTTTCCCACCTTTCTACCTATAAGATGCAATCAACTCAAATAATCGAAATAAACTAATGCAAATATAATTTCAAAATAATATAAGAATCCGATTAAATTAATCAGGAAAAAGCATGTCCTGAATATTGAAACGGAAATAATAATTCTCAAAGAAGAATAAATTTAATTTATCATCAGCATTGTCGAAATCAACCTGGCCAATACAGAAAGCAGACAACCGCAAATTTAGTTCATTTAGCATTCATGAATGTCCTTACCTGTCTTCTGCAATAATTTTCCCTCCGGCCAAATCTCTCTAGGCCAATAGCATCCACATTAACGCTATGCAAAGAAGCCAAAGCTTTGGCAGAAGCTCGATATATAGCCTTTCGAGTATCAGAGGCCACTCCCTGACAAACAGATCAAGAAGGAAGAGGCATTATAATTGTACAAAGAGCCAAAAGACCCCTATGGCACAGCTATAAGCCAGAAATTTCTTACTGGTAGCTTGTTGTCCACAAAAATCCGTCCTTCTAAATACTCCATAATGTAAAAGGACGTTCCAATTACGCTGGGATCATTGCACAAACAGAAAGCCTTGGGAACTGGAACATCGGTATGATCACCCAAAGCCTTGAGAACCTGGTGCATAAGAAAGTCAACACCTTAGCCAAAATCAATGATCAAATATGAAGTGAACCGTTCCAGTGATCAAAGAACTAAAAATCAAGGGGCATCCATCCCCCCGTATAACTTTTCCACATCCAGCAGAACCTCCAAATATCAAGAAATCTATTTGATTGAAAAAAAAAAAACATTATATGCCAACAAAGAGTATTAGGATTTATCCATTGTAGATTACAATATTGTTCATCAAAAGTAACGATGTACATTTGTTTGTAAATGGAGATCCAAGTAAAAAAAAAAAATGAAACACAAAGAAAACCAACGAGTGTGAAGTGAGGTTTCAATGAATAAAAAAAAAAAAAACTTCATAGATGTTTTGTAAAAGGGGAAACTTGAAAGAAAATTGAACAACAACCATAGTTTTTGGTAGAAGCATAAGTGGTCAAACAAGTCGATGGTTGGCCGCATGGAACCACACATAGGAAGCCCTTGTGAGCCGATCCCAAATTTATTCTACTATAGAAGTTCATGGGCATAACCCCGAGCATAAGTTGCGTGTGGAGGATGAGAGAGACAAGTACCTGGAATTCCCTCTCCACGGCATGGGCCGACTCGAGAAGCACGCCTGGAGGCTTCTTCCTGAGCACATAGCGCTTGGAAAGTGCTCTGGTGGAATCTCCGGTGTCATGTGAAACTTCGAGGAGGAAGGTGGGGTTGGACTGGCCATGGCCAAATTGTGAGACGACAAGGCGGTTGGGCGCGCCGGGAAAGCCCTCCACATTGGACACGGCATAACGAAGGAGCGCTGCCTCGTCGAAACGGTGAGCTGAAGCTACGGAGCTGTGGAGTTTCGACGTCATCGTTGCCATGGAAGAAGACCAGGTTTTCTTTCAGAAGGGAAGGATTTCCAGGAGAAACTATTTTCTGCGTAGTCCGGAATAAACTCCAGTTACAATTAATTCTTTAAATCATGACACTTAATTTAAAGACAATAGATATTTAAATTAGATTTCATTTTTAATTTTGATCTTATCAGCCTAATTGACTAGGTACAGAGGTTCATCATCCCTTAGGGCATCTCCAACCTAAAATCTCATTTTTCACTCCAAAATGCAGTGGAACCGAAAAATGCCGTAATTCATCTCCAATCGAACTCCATTTTACCCTGCAGCCGTCGTTCGCGCATTTCTTCCGCAAGTTCAGTAGAGACCAACAAAATGGCGCATATGAACAGCGTCGCACTGTTCATCCGCGATCAAATGACGTCAAAAATGATGATCAGTTGGAGCAAAGCAAGAATGGCAAACAAGTGTTGCCCTTAGGTTATAGAGTTTGCGTTCTTTTTTTAATGAAAATAACCACGGGTTACCTGCGGAGGTTTTTCAAAAAACTATTTTTGATTATAAGATAAAGTTTAGAGTTCCGTTTGTTTTTTTGTATTTGTTCCTTTGTGTGGTCTACATCATCATTAAAAAAATTATTCATTACAAGTTCAATTCTAAATAGTAAATAAATAACACACAACAAATATGCAGTAAATAAGCAGATAATACGCAAATGAAATTGCAATTAAATTTGTAAGGAAAACTTTCTAAAAAATGACAATAGAATATGTAATTCACTACGTTTTGGCAGTTAATCAATGGTTTCAACTATCGTAAACTTTAATTTTTAAAACTAGATTGCATAGTTTGGAACTCTCTGTCTTAATTAGATTTTATGTGTTCAGATCATGTTATTATAAGTGTTTTCACTATTAATTAAATTTGTAAAGAAAATTTTATAGAAAATTTCAATATAATAAGTAATTAGCTGCCTTTGAATATGCTTTCACTGCGCTTGGACAGTTAATCAGTGGTTTTGACTATCTTAAACTTTAATTTTTAAAACTAGATTGCATAGTTTGAAACCTATATTCTAAATATATTTTATTAGTTCAAATCTTGTTACTATCAGTGTTTTAACTCTGAATTAAATTTATAAGAAAAAATTTCTAGAAAATTATAATATAATGTATAATTCACTATGTTTTCGTTATGCTTTCTCTGCGCATTGAGCTTTGACATTTAATTAGTTATTTTGACTATTGTCAGCTTTAATTTTCAAAACTAAATTGCATAGTTTTGAACTCTCTATCATAATATTATTTTATTTGTTCAGGTCATGTTACTATAAGTGTTTTCACTATGAATAAAATTTGTAAAAAAAAATTCTAGAAAATTACAATATAATATGTAATTCACTGCGACTTAGTTGCACTTTCATTGCACTTTCGCAGTTAATCAGTTGTTTCAACTATTGCCAACTTTAATTTTTCAAAACTAGACTGCCTAGTTTGATGCGCTTTCAACGTGCTTTTGCTGCACATTAATATTTTTTTTTTGCGCTTTGATTATACTTTCACCGCATATTATTATTTTATTAAAAATTATAAGTAGATACAATTAAAGAATTAATCAAAGAATTCAATATAAAATAAATCAATGACAATACAAAATATACAGAAAATATGTTTATTTCTTCTTTGAAAGAAACATAGTGTATACAAATTCGACCCTAAATTTTTACGCTCTGCCCAATTCACTTTCTTTTGATGAATAAATTTTTTCATATATTTGCAGACGAACATTTTCGAAATCAACACTATTCATCTGGCTTAAAATTCCCTGAACACTTTGGATGTTCCATTTTATTATATTGGTCTCAAATGATCCTTTCATGTCCTTATATATATATTTTTATATGAACAAAATAAAGAACAAGTATTAGTTCATTGGAAGAATTTTCTTGTGTCATGAATTGGGTAATGAATGGTAAAATTTTCAAACTTTCTTCTGCAAATAAAAAATACATAGTAAATATAAAGAAAAGCATACTTACAGTAAAATGGAAGCATAGTGATGATGCAATGAAAGTACATCTAAAGCAAAGTGAAAGCACACTGAAAGCATAAGGGCATCTCCAACCGAACGGCAAATCAATATTTGCCGATCTTCCTTCCCTCCAACCAATCGCTATTTTTGCCGTCATTCGAAGGGAGATGAACAGTGCGACGCCAATATTGGCGTCGCACTGTTCATGCGGCATTTTTTTTTTAATTCGAAATTTAATTATTAATTTTAAAGATTGAAGTTTATAACTTTTTTATTATTAATTAAAATAATAAATTAGAAATATCTTATTTTTTTAGAAATCTAAATTTTTTTAACATAATTAATAAAGTAAAAGCATAGCAAAAGCACAATGAAATAAATAACAAAATATTCAAAAAGAATTAAAAACATAGTGAATATAAAGAAAAGCGCACTTAAAATACAGTGAAAGAAAAAACAAAAGCTTCAGAAAGCTTAAAAACATTGTGAATATAAAGAAAAGTAAAGTAAAAGCGCAATAAAAGCACATCAATTCTATAGTTAAAGCATTGAAACAAATGCATAGTTAAAGAGTAGTGAAAAGCGCTATTAAAAAATATAATCAAATATTTTAAAGCTATGCAACCTACTTTTTAAAAATTGAAGAAGTCATTATACGATATATAGCGGAAGCACACTTAAAGCGCAGTTAAAATAAGGCTAAAATGAAAAAATAATAATTATTTAAACATTCTAAAGTAAACGAAAACAACGTAGTCTTTAAAATAGAAGAACTCGGTATGGTATTGATTCCTGTGAATATGATGCAAAAGCGAATCAAATGCGCAACAAGTTCTTGCACTTGTTTGCACATGGAAATGAACTTTTGCACCGACTTGAATGCCGAAGTAATGCAGTGAAGAATTAGGAATATCTAACGAGAGAGAAAGTGAGCCGTGAAATGTCGGGATGAAAAGTAAAATGACTTAGCTCCGAGCTTTTAAACTCCCGTGAATTTAAATTATTCATCTCTAGGTCAGGTCAGCTAGACTGACAAAACATAAGTAAAAAAAAAAATTCATTTGAATATCCTTGTGTCCACTCCACATGTTAAGTTTTATTTGAGTCCGAATGTAGAGCTATCATTCAGATTCATCATATAATAATTTCTCCTTACACATGCACTTGATAAAAGGACTCATCAAGACTGGAACAGTAGCAAGCAAATACTTTGATGTTTTTTTTTTTATTTTTTCCTTTTTTTAGCATATAAATGCTTATTATCATAAACATATTATTATGCCTATATATTTTTTAAAAATTATTTTTCATTTTTATTTAAAAGTATATAATAGTTCTTATATAATTATAATTATGCATACATACGTCTATATATTATTGCATGAAATTATTTATTTAATAAGCAAAATATTTGATTTGAAAGATACATATTTAATAAAATGATTGATTATTTGATTTGTTCTACCAAATCATTTTTTGAAAAAAAAAAAAAACTATGAATGATATAATAGCTCTAAATTATATATGATATGATGCATTCACCAACCCTGCGGCTGTTGATCTTAAATGTTGGATTGAAAATATTTATAAATTTATTAGGATTCATTTAAAAACATTTTATCTTAAAATTATTGCCAACTTTTGTATTATATTACCACTCATAAAACTCTGATCAATCTCAGAGAACAATTTTAACATAATAATGGACATAAACTTTTTTCAGCTTGGCTAAGAGTTAATAAATCTTAGGCAAGATCAAAATTCAATTGGTAAATATTATACCAAAATTGAAAATTTTGTGAAAAGAATTAAAAAACATTTGTTTATTTATATTTACGACAATTTTATCTCATAATAGATGATATGTATCCATAGCTTGTATTAACTTTATAAGTAATGGTTATGGTCAATATTATCGACAATAATGAGCAACAAAATTAGTAGGTATCCATCAATGTCAATGACTTGCATCGGCCTAATAGGCAATGACATTCGTTGCATCATGCAAAGCTTGTCCAACATTAAGTGTTTGTTTAGCTTTAACTTCTCATTATTTCGAAGAACGAGGGTTCTATTCATGATTTTTTAAAGTGACAGTTAGATTAATTTAACCAAATTTTCAAAGAACTCAATCAGACAACCTATATTGATTCCATTAATTAGAAGCTATTCTTTTATATATATAAGTGTCTTAAGGACCTCAAAATTGAGTACTCTTAAGCTTATAGGATTACACTTGCTGAGATGCTTAATTTGACTGCAAGCTCAAGATTCAAAGATCATTTAACCATTAAATTAATGTTATAAAATTTTTAACAAAATATCAAGTGTTTTATTTGAACTCATTTTGACTTGAATATGAACACTTTTCGCATTATTTGGAAAGTTATAAAAGGCTCATAAGGAGTCTAAGAAAGTAATATATAATGCAAAGACTTTAGCTTTTAATTATTTATATAATAAATTAGATACCAAGGAGGGCGGAAGATATTTGTATAAGTTAGCTAAACAAAGAGATAAGAGTAGTAACGATTTAGTTCAAGTGATGTGTATTAAGGATGAAGATCAAAAAGTACTTTTATTAGAAGAAGATATTTAACAAATGTGGATGAGATATTTTATAAACTCCTCAATGAAAATTATGAGAATGTGATTGAATTTAGTGATCTTAGCACTTTAAATGAAATTTTTTTTATTGACTTATTAGTAAAATCGAAGTTAAAGAGGCATCAAAGAAAATGAAGTGTGGAAAAGTAGTTTGACCTGGCGATATCCCAACAGAGGTGTGAAAATGCTTAGGAGAAGAAGGAATTTTTTGTCTTAATAAACTTTTTAATATTATTTGAAGACTAAAAAGATGTCATATGAGTAGAGAATAAGTGTATTGATTCATATTTTTAAGAATAAATGTGATGGACAATATTGTGTGAATTATAGAAGAATTAAGTTAATGTGTCATACTTTAAAACTATGAGAGAGAGTTATGGAGCATAGGT